AGAACTTTCAGGGTGTGGAGCTTCCAATTGCAAATTTAATATTCAGATCAAAAAAACCCCAAAACCTCAAATGTCTACATACTTTTTGGTGGGTTTTCTATCATGACATTCCCATCCCTAATGAATGTGAGCAGTCTGATTTGCTTGAAAGTGTGAAGACCCAAATCTGAAGCCCCAGGGCCCTCTAGCAACAGATATATATGGGAACAGGCTGATCCAGGGGCCAGGCATGGTGAAACTAGTCCCCTTCTGCGTTAGGGTCATGTGTTTGTGGTTGGATTCAGTGCCCAGAAACTCCTGTGAATGATTAAGATGGATTTCTTCTAACCCAGGCAGAAATGTGTGCTGCTGACTGACCTGTGTGTGATCAAATGGTGAAAAGGCTCACAGGCCTTGCACTCACCTTCTGTGTTTTCCAATGGAATGTACATATTATGATGAGATATCTTCATCTCCTTCACTCTTGAATGCTGCTAACACAACCACTTCAAACCACTTGAGTAACAAGTATCTGCCTTGACTTTGGTAAGGCCATCAATGATCTGTTTCTGTGTCAGCTCTTTATTGCTGCAGCTTTGCTGGAGTTTCTCTAGATTTCACTCACCTCACGTTGGGTTTGTGTATGGGAGAGCTCCAAGTCCCATTTATAGTATCTTTCCTTAGAATAAAAATAACATGAGAGAAGTTGTTTTGCTAACTGTCAGAGATGTCAGTGTGAGATGCATGCTTTCTATTTTTAATCCTTTTTTATTAGCTGTTACTAGGTGATATCTTTAAGACCATCTTTTCACATGATTACTTTTCCTGGATGGCTTTACTTTTTCCATTGTAACAAGAATAAAACTTTTTTTCTCTCAAGTAATTTTCTAGCCAATAAGAAACTATTGAATATCTTAGTGAAAGAGTCTTTATATGTCTTTATGTGAGTAGCTTTCTTTTCATTAATCTGGTGCATATCTAGGTACTATAAATGTCATTTGTATTCTTAAGGTTGTCAAAAATGAATAGCTTGTTTCTTCTTGCTGTCTGAAACTTGTCTGACAAAATGAGGTTCAACATAAAGCACAGATAGGTAATGAAATCTGCTATTGTGCAGGTAAGAAAATCTGTGATTAATTAAGGGGGCGACATCTGGATGTGACCACAATCTATTTGTAAAGGGCTGTAAATAGCATCAAAGATTTGTGAGCGTTAGGTCTGTGGACAGCAGGAAATATTTGAAAGCCAAAGCAGGATCAAATGTTTGGGTAAAAATTATGGTTATAGCTAACCACAAATCAAGTGAGAGCCATTAGAATGTTGTTTGTTATCCTGTGGTTGGATGTAAATTCTCAGCATTGCTCCTTTGATTTGTAAAGCAAATGAGGGTTAGGCTTGCAACCTTGAAGACATGTGAGACCTTGAAGTAAGACAAACAGGCTCTGCTGATTGTTGTGCTCTGCCTTTGGAGGTTTTCTGAGGGTACCTCTTGCTCTTACAAGTACAGGCTGAACACCCTGTTTGTTTCATTTCCACTGGAGAACATGAACCACTGAACTTTGCATTTCTGTTTGTACATATGAAGTACCTCATACAGGAAAATGTTTTAAAAGCTGGCTGTGCAAATGAGATTTGCTTGCTGTTCTATTAGAAGGCTCTGAAGCACAAACATTTTGGCTTCCTCAGCGATTGGCAAAGCTGAAGGCAGTTCCTGGAAATCTGTCATTCTTCTCATCTACAAATAGCTCTGGTGAATGAAGTGTACATTTGGTGGGAATCCCACTGGGAGAGGGATGTGTTAGCATGTGCTAGCTGTTATTCTCTAACAGTCATAACATCTTCATTAGTTTCTCATTTAATACCCATCACAGACAGCTAGAAATGAAAGGAATTACCTTTATCTAATTGTAGGAGTTAAATCTATAAATTCATATGTGAAGGTCAAAGGTTTTAACAGTGACCAGAGAAAAGTGGTATTGTTATCCTCAGCCTCTTCACACATTGAGGAGAGAGCCATCCAGCCAAAATCTAGGCAGCCTTACTTAGGTTTAGGGAAAAAAACCTCAGAAAAACTAGCGTTTTTCATAGTGAAGAGAGATTTATCAGATACAAGAAACAACTTGAGGTGGAAGTATCAGAAACTTCTGGGAAAGGAATCCAAGTCCACTAATGCAAACTGTAATTCCAAAAGACAAGGAGCCAAGGCTTTAAGATGCCAAAGAAATATGTGCTTTCCTGTTACTAAGCTGATGTGCCTCCTGCCTAGAGAGAAAGATTTAAATGAGTTGCAGTTGAGTGTAACCAGTGAATTTGGGACTTGGTTAGTATCTCTTGTGATGCCCTCTTTATGTAGGCTTCCTTGTACAAGGTGGGGAACCCTACACTGTAAACACCAGACTAAACTAAGTGTTTAAGGGCATACTTTAGCCCCTCCAGTCCAATATCATAAATGACTTTGTGGATAAACTAATATCTTCTGGAGTGTGCCACATATGTGGTATATATTGACATAGAATCCCATAGACAGAGCTGCACCTTTGTCAAAATGTCATTTGCATTTGTCAGTAAATTTTGCATGGTGTAGACTATGGAACTGATGTCATTCTGCCTTGTCAAATCCATACAGAGGCCAACTCCCGTGACTTGGCAAATTCCCAACTGATGTCAGCTTTTAAGTCAATGAGGATTCCTTTGGAGGAGAGACAGCAGGATGTGGATTAAAATATTTGTTTGTGATTGATAAATGAAGTCCACCTGGTCACCAGACAAGAAGAGCATATGATACAAGAAACAGCCATTTAAGAGTTTCTCCTTCATTTCAGTTTTGTATAACATTTTATTTCAGATTAAAGTACATTCCAAACTCAAAGAAATCTTTGGATTGACTGATAAATTTGAGGAACATATTAATGCTAACAAAATAGCAGTAGTTGTTACTCCTGTGGTAAAGGCTAATTTAAAAAGAAGTGTAATATGGACTTTGTGTTTAGGTGTTTTTTCACCTTCTACATTTCACTTTCATAAGGATTCTAAGTGCCACCTTGTGGGCATCATTATTCTTGTATCTCATTATAGGGCCCAAATGGTGAAGCAGAATAATAAAATTTAGTTTTGAAATCTGTGACAGAAATTAGTTATGTTTTCTTTGAGGATTGGAGGATTTTGATTTATTTTCCAGTCTTGTTAATTGATATGCTGAAGTCAAAGAACATATTACTGTTGGCTTCAATGGCTGTGAATAAAGCCAAACTCCACTAGTCTTTCTGTGGAGTTGTACTACTTCCATATTTTTGCAGTTCTTGCTGAAATTCCTTTGTTGTTCATTCTCAGATCTTTCTCCTGGGTAAGATATCAATGAAATGCCATAGGAGTGAAATCCCAGATGTCTGGTATTCTGCAAGCTCTGTATGTTGTAACCCCAAATGTCCTTGTGTGAAAGTGGCTTGGTAAAATGATTCATGCAATGTCATGAAGTAGCCCATGTAGTTCTTGAGGTGTGTGTGGGTTGTAGGGTGTTCTTTGTTGCACATCCTGGTGTCTCCTGTGTTTCTGGCAGCTATGTTGTGCTGTGGGATGTGGTGCTGTGACATCTCAAGGTGCTGGGTAGGTCAGCTATGCTGTGTTTTTAAAGGGTTTTGGGGAACATCTTGTCTCCAGTGCCTAAGTACAATGCCCTGACTCAGGTATTTCTGTGCTTTGCAGAAATAAAACCAGATTTTATTCTAGAATAAATAATTTCTAATTACATGCAGCTCTTTTTATGCTCTCTACTAACTTAAAGATATATTCAAGGTATACTAAATATTTGTTACTTATCTTAAAACTGTCTCTTGAGGATCTGGAACTTCTTCTCTTGCCAGCTGAAATTGAAGCCTGTATCCTAGGAGTAAATACAATGTGGTTTGTCTCTATAATGTTTAGCTGTCAACCAGTGCAACAACTTGGGCACATGCAGTCACAAATTCCTCCTTATCTCCAGGCTATACTTAGGCCATAACCAGTATCAAAATTCCAGGACATCAAATCTCTTCCTTGGCTTCTGTTCTACTGGCCCATGTAATATTTCATTCTTATTTGAATGAGAAGTTAATCACATAGGCAGATGATAGGTGCTCATCATAAATCTTACTGTAAATAGAAACCAACAAGATCAGTGCACAGAAATATTTCTGTAAAACAGGACACAGTCTCCACAGTATATGCACTTTAAAGTACACTAAGTTGGAATTTTTTTTTCTTGGTTTTGTCAAATCTGTAACATTTTTTTTCTGCCCTTTAATTTTAAATGCCCAGAGCAGCTGTGGCTGTTCCATCCCTGGGAGTGTTCCAGGCCAGGTTGGATGGGACTTGGAGCAACCTGGGCTAGTGGAAGGTGTCCCTGCCCATGGCAGGAGGGTTGGAACTAGATCTTTAAGGTCCTTTCCAACCCAAACCATTCTACAATTCTATGAAATTACTTTTTTTTAAAACTGTCCTGCCCAAATGGATGTTACTGAGTAGGCTGAACATTTTCTACTCAGTGAACAGGAGGATTGTTTCTATAACTGTCTACATGCAGTATAAAGACTTCTTAGAAACCTCTTCTGGTGCTCAGCTTTAAAGGAGATTAAGACAATACTTTATATATGAAGTAGTTCTGCCTTTGTAAAAAGCCCATTTGAATCATAACAAAGTCATAGCTCTCCACCTCTTTTCTGAGTAGCAGCTACAGGAACAATGTAGTGAAGAGGTTCTTTTCTTTTAGCTAAGGAGCAATCAGTGCATTACTGTTCTTGGTGTGTTCTTGTATTTTTGGTAGCAGGGTGTAAAATCCTGTCAGCTAACTTGAAAACCCCAAGTCTATGAACCCTTTGTTTTTCATTGTCTTTTTCCATACAGAAGAAATGCTAATTCCTGAAATGCTAATTCACATAATCCTTTCAGAATTGATTATTCTCTGCAAGTCATACTCTCCTCAGTTGTTATGTCCAAAGTCTGCAGTTTCAAGATCTTGGAAAAAGAAATATTGCTTTGTTTTGCAGAGCATTGGCTGTGACGACTATCTGGGTTCTGACAAGGTGATTGACAAGTGTGGAATATGTGGAGGGGACAACACTGCTTGCAAGGTTGTGTCTGGAGTGTTCAAACACACGCTAACAAATCTGGGCTACCACAAGATAGTGGAAATTCCTGAAGGAGCTACTAAAATCAACATTACTGAGATGTCAAAGAGCAACAACTATTTGGGTAAGTTGCCTCTCAGTGCACGAAGCATTCTGTGTGTGCTGGTACAACTGGGTGGAGGTGATGCCAGGAAAGGCCTTCTGAGCAGGGTGAAATAGATGTCAAGAAGAAGAGAGGAAAGAGGAAAAATCATTAAACAGGTGTTTTGATCAGAACTAACTGGCTGTTTATAATTCTAGATTGATCTTGGATGACAAACACCACAGACCTGTTACCATCTGTTTCCCTGTCTGTCTGAATTGGCTTTGGTGTTTCCTATAATTGGTTCCACTGTGGTGATTAACTTTCCCACATCATTATCCTTCCCTGAGCAGTGAAGAGTCCAGTCAAGCTGTATGGTCCTTTATGGAAATTGTATCAAGACTGCTCGAGGAGAAAAGAGAATCTTCTGATTGCCTAAAAGTTTCTGTTCTTTTAAAGTGAAAGCATATAAAACATTTATTGAGATACTTTGATGTTGAGGTGATATTCAGAGAATCCAAGGTCAGTTGTACAATTGTTTATAATGAAGCAGGGCCTTAATTCAAAACCATAGAGGATCCTGGAAAATTTATATTAACGTAACATCTTGTGGTTTATTGCTAGATATGTATATTAGGTTGCAAATTTAGAGATTATGTGGAATTTATGCAGATCTATGTCATTCTTGTGTGCATTTATGAACTGTGGCATAACCTGTTGTGTTCCCAAGTTACAAAACTCTTTTTTTTTCTACATTTGTGCATGTTTTGGAGGCAATTCTGCTGAGTGGGCTGGAGAGAGAAGATTCAGTTAAGAATTTTCAAAGTTGTCCCTTGCCCTTTAATTTCTCTTCACCTGTTAGTCCATCCTTAGATCTGTCTGAAAAATTACTGTATCAGATAGTAAAACTGGAGCTACATGAGGCCTTTCCAGCCAGCTTGGCAAAGTTATTGCTAGAACTACCTGGCTGTACTGGAGTTCTCAAATCCCAGTACTCTTGTTGGACAGCTGCTTTATCTCACTTCTGGCTGGTGAGTGTCTCAGCTGCTGCTCAAGTACAAGAAAGGAAAGTGCTCATTATGGAATTGCTTCTCTCCTGTTTTTTCCTTTCTTCCCCTTAATTCATGCTGGAGCTGTAATGAGTTCTACAGAAACATTTGCCTGTAGATGGGAGTTTATTACGAGGAACACTCTGAACTGTAATGTGAGCTCCATAATCTTACCAAAAAAGTGACTTTTCAAAATTGAAGAAATAATATAAGCTACCCACAGTCCAAGAAACCCAAATGTTCTGGACCTCTTGCAGTGTGGTATTCTCAGCTCTAATTTGTCCTGGTTTCATCCAAATGAGTTTTTGATACATTATATACCTATACACACTGACATTCATTTTTTTCATGCAAACAGTTCATTTGGCATCTGTCAACACTAACTTGATTGATGATGAACTAACCCAATAATTCTATCTAAAGAACTTCCACAAATACTTGTACATTTGATAGAAAATGGGTGGGAATGTAGCTTACTTGGCAGGACAGCAAGAGCAGTCATGTTACTAATATATAAAATCATGGAGCTGAATGTAATTTTTCTGTAGGTTTATGTGCCAGCATCTGAAAGCAGCTGGCAGAAAAATTCCCTTAACTAAGTTAAAATGAACACTTGAACATTTTTGGAATGGGCAGCACAGAAAGAGAGTAACATTTTTTGATTAAAAATAGCCAGTCTGTTGGCATGTATGGGAAAGTGGCAGAGTTTTACTTTCCCATGCTACTCCTTAACTCCTTATCCCCTGAGCTCTTGGTTTATGCTATCATCTTTTCTTTCTTTCTTTTTTTTTTTATCCATTTCATATGTTTTATTTTAAAGCTGCTGGTATGGATTTAGTCTGCTAAATTTGCCAGCTCCCTCCCCTGTCAGGAATTCTTGAGGATGTAATTCCAGCTCGAAGGACTCCAGCCACTCTGCTTACATTGTTACACAATAAACTTGGTTTATTGAGGCAGGTGAGTTGCACCAGGACAGGGTTGAACATGTTCTAGCAGATCAGAAAACTGAAACTAGAGAAAGGTTTATCAAACAATTTATTGGATGGGTGAAATGGTAATTGTAAGGTTGCTTTTTGGCATATTGGTGGTCACAAATTTCCCACTGATGAAACAGCATCCAAAATTTAGACATGTACATTTTTGTAGTGCACAGAACACTGGTAGAGCTGAGAAGCCTGAAAACCTGGATCTGGTATCTACAATTTTCTCTATAGTTATGGTAATAAACAGAAGGTTTGAACTTTAAAAATAAAATTTAACAAAAATTACACTTACCCTTCCGGTGCCGCAACAACAAGAAGAGCAACCCAGGAGCCATTCCCTTAAGGATGTAGTTGAGTGCTTTGCAAAACTGAATTTTCAGGACCCTGTTGAGGCATAATCCAGTTGTAGCCATCAGACTTGCTTGTAAGCAACATTCCACTTTTTTCAAGGGGTGTAAGTTAGTAGCTTTTGGGTTTCCTTTCCCTTTGTCCATTTTATGGTTTCTTCAATGCAAAATTGTAAGTTGGCTCAAGGTCAGTAACTTTTTTTTATTGAAGAAGATGACAGCAGATGTTTCTGTGAATCAGAGTTATCCTGCTTGTCTCTGCTCAGGAGATTGTCTTGAGTTCCACATGGTTTCATTAAGTGATTTTACAAATTTCCACACCTTTCCATTGTTTTGTCAAAAGAACTAAGCAAGTGAGCAATGGGGAAAGTTTGTTTTCACAGGGAGGTATTTCTGTAAAATCAGGAGGTGCTGGAAAAATCTGGCAAGAATATGAGTTTCCAATTCACTTAAAAGTCATCCAAACATTTGAAAGTTTCTCCATACTACGTCTGTGAACGTTTTTGTAGTAATCTGTTGCTCTAATAGAGCCATGAGGTGTATGTGAAATTCCTCAGGAAACATCTCATGTTTGTTTTCTTGTGTGTGTTCATTCACACAGAAATCAGTCCAGCTTTGGAGAGCTGTATAATAGCTATTCATAACTATTAATAATGTATTCACCAGTCTGTATATTTACTCTAGTATTTTTTTACAGTTGAAAGCAAAAGCTATGTATTACAATTTAGGTTTAGGCTCTATCAAGTGCAAACAAGGCTATAGACTGTACAGTCCTGAGCTATGTACAGGATGACTTGCTTCTCAAAGCAGTTTTCAGCAATATTTTCTTACTGGCTGATGTGTTAGACCTTTTTGGTAACAAAACTGCTGACCTTGGACAGACTTTTCCATTGGCAAAGCACTTCTGTCACATGCTAGTCTTGTACAGAAAAGAGACAAAGACATACTTTTTATCCCACTGGTAATCATCAGCTGTCCAGTTCTCATACACTGACATGGGAAGTTTGCCACTGATTTCAGTAGGATGATAATACCTTTGGTGGGACCAGTGTGTTACAGCACTTATGCTGCAAAACATTTGCTTTGGAGTATAAATACTTCATCATCTTTGGGATTGGGATTTGAGATAATGGCAAGTTTTAAAGCCAAATAACACAAATCTGAAGTGATTATTTGGAAGGTGCTATTTTTTTGCATGTTATTGTGTCTTGAGACTCTGATTTGAAGAAGTTGGTTGTTCTCCATAACCATAGCCTCTACAGCAAGGCAATCCGTTGGGAAGGAGCCATTGGTAGTTAAAATGAAAATGTAGCTTAAGTTTGAAAGATACAATAGTTGAAAATATGTTTTGAAATAAACTTCCACAGTATAATTAAGTTACTCTAACTGGAAGAATCTGCTCATGTCCTGTAGCTGAAGGAGCAGTTTGTTTCAGGGACAGTTGTCTGAGTGTGGAGTCGTGTGGCTTTGGGCTCAGTTCTGCAGATGGTTCCAGCCCCACTGCCTGCACTGCTGGCAGGCCCTGGCTGTGAGGTGTCTTGGAAAGGGCAGACAGACAGATCAGAGTTTTGGCAAGTCTCTGAGCATTTTGTTTCTTACCTGCATACTGTTTACTACAAAGATATTTGATTCATAGTGAAAGTTATTTTGTTGCTAATTGGAATGTGCTGCCCAGGGAGGTGGTGGATTCACCATCCCTGGAGGTTTTCAAGCTGAGACTGGATGTGGCACTTAGTGCCATGGTCTAGTGACCATGGTAGGGTTGGACTCGATGGTCTTTGAGGTCTCTTCCAACCTGGTTGATTCTGTGATTCTATGATGATTAAGATGCTTTGTTTTTCCTGCACACGCACTTACACTTACACCACCTTTGAATTATTTTCCTTAAAATAGTCTCAAATTGATTTTCTGCAGGGAGAGTGCCTTTGACTAAATAAATGTTCATCTTACTGTAGCCAACATGTATTACTTGGCTGGGGTGATCACTTACTAAAACCCTTGAAGCTGTTAAGACTTTGGATGAAATTCAACCCTGGTGTTAATGAATTCAGCTCCACTGAATTCAAGTTGCACAAGTGTCTTACCTAGTGTAATGACCTATAGTTGAAACAGAATATATCCAGGACATTTTTCTTTGCTGACCATATATATATTTTCAATACTGGTGTTGCTTAAATAGTTACAATTTAGAGTTTCTGGCAAGGTTATCTTATTATAGTAAATTCCAAGGTGACCTTTCCCCTTCTGGCTTTGTTAAACAGCCAGCTAATATCTAACACCCTCTATAGTGGTCTGTAGGGTTCCAGGCACATTTTGAAAACATACAAAAGAAGTTTATTCTTTTTTTATATATTAAGTGGCAGATCTTAAAAAAGAAATTTTACAAAAAGACAGATGTTGCTACTCATGTGGGTGATGGGAAGTGCTCTTTCCCCTGGCCTCAGGAAAGTGGTTAAGTCTTGATGCCTGGGTTAACTTCTGTTGTCACAACTTTCCACTGCTGCCTTACAAAACAGTCTTCTTTATGTCACTTCCCATCAGTGTTTTCACTTCTGAGCTTCTATATGAGTTTCTCCTTGCTTGCTGTTGGTGGGAGATCTCCTGAGAGATAGGCCTGAGTTGGGGTGCTGAGCAAGAAACCTGAGAGCCTTGTGGCTTTACAT